GGTTAAGCACTTAATTCGTTCCGGAGGTCCGTTCTTAACCTGAAGCACCACTTTAGCTAATGGGGCCTCCCGCTGTCGCTGCACCACCAGAACACGATTTCTGTTCTCATCCTGAAGCAAAGTTCTTAACCCGAGGTACTGTTTCTGGGTTAGCAGAGTCTGTAACCTGAAGCGTATGTAACCTGAAACGTATGTAACCAGAGGTACCACTGTATATTATTTACACTCAAAGTACTTTAGGGGGAATGGCCAGAGCCCATTTTATAGAAACACAGGACAACACAAAACATCAGAATACAGCTTGACAACAATATGAGAGTTTCCCATTAAACATTGAGCAAACCGCCAGGCATGGCAACTGCAGGAAAAGGGACAAGTATGGAAGGAATGTAGTGTAAAAGATTTTAACTCCACAGTGGTCCTTTTTCCAAATTCTACATGAAGACCAGAAGCAAAACCATGCTTAACTGCTCTCCCTAACGGGGGCTTTGGTGCCCAAGACTGGTCTGCTAGTTTTGATACCTCTGTGGACACCTAGGTTTGCCTATTCATAAAATGGGGAGTTGGTGACTAAATTGGTAATCTGTAATCAACCATCAAAAAGAAAAAACAACCTATTTCTTGTACATCAGACAAGAGAGCTGTGTCTCACTTAATGGTTGTGTTAAGAACATGACGTAAGATGAGGCAGCAGGATGAGGCCAATGGTCCAGCTTCCTGTCCTCACAGCACCTGTGGCAAGAAGTCTGCAAGCAGGACATGAGCACAGCAGCTCTCTGTCTACCTGTGATTTCCTGCAACTGCTACCCAAAGGGATGTGTTGTTTGGCCAGGCAGGCACCAGCGCCATCAGAGGGAGCAATGAAAGGCAACTGAGAGTGATGTTTTGAAGGTCATCCTGTAAGCAGGATTCAAGCACCAAGATGAATAGAAAAGAGCCAGTTTAATTAAGTCAGACTCTTACCATGGGAACATTCCCAAGCTAATCAGGTCTGAACTAATGCTATGTTATTTTCGAAAATTGCCAAGTTCACCAATGGGAGATTTCTTTCATTGGTTTACCGCAAGTCTCAGGAAAAGCTTCATTGAACACTTGGTTCAGCCTCAGTGTTTATTTCCGCTCAGTTTCAAATCAGTCATGGGTTTCATACTCTGGTTACTAAAGAGAGAGGGAGGGAGATGGAAGGAGACAGTGTCACTTACAGCGTGACCAGGAGTCAATACATAAACCACAGGCTCTCAAGTTTCGCTGTGCATTGTCGGCTCTGACTCAAGGGGATGGTTTTGAGGCATTATGCTGCCCCACAGAAAGTTGACTGGAGAAAAGTTCACAGTATACGGCAGGTTGTCGTCCCCCCTCCCAATACTTCCCTGAACTCCTAACCCCTAAGAACAGGGGTCAGCAAACTTTTTCAGCAGGGGGCCGATCCACTGTCCCTCAGACCTTGTGGGGGGCCAGACTATATTTTTTGGGGGGGAAATTAACAAATTCCTATGCCCCACAAAAAGCACACATTCTACTCATGTAAAAACACCATGAAATAACAAATAACAAAAAACACCATGAAATAACAAATAACCCAGAGATGCATTTTAAATAAAAAGACACATTTTACTCATGTAAAAACACACTGATTCCCAGATCATCTGCAGGCCAGATTTAGACGGCGATTAGGCCGGATCCAGCCCCCGGGCCTTAGTTTGCCTACCCATGCCTAAGAACAATGACAGGGTGCAGCTTTAACACATTTCTTCCTCCTCCTTTCCCTTGGCCATGTACAATGCATGTGCCCCACAGCAAGATGTTATAAATACTCACCCTTCACATTTTATTCCCACACCTCCACGGTGTGGATTCACTGATGTTCACTGCCTTGAGCAGTCAGTTTTCAGAATGGAAAGGTGGTGAAAATCTCATAGGGAAATGTTGATTTGGTTTATTATTACTACAGCTCAAGGTGGTGTAATGCTTCTCCCCCTCTTCATTTTATCATCGCAGTCATCACAGCTACTTGGAGATTTCAAAGCTGCTCTCCCAAGTCCTAGTATGACACTAAGAAGTGTTCTGGAGTGTATTATCACCATCATTAATATACAGTGGTACCTTGGTTCTCAAACTTAATCCGCTCTGGAAGTCCATTCCAAAACCAAAGCATTCCAAACCAAGGCATGCTTTCCCATAGAAAGGAATGCAAAATGGATGAATCCATTCCAGGCTTTTAAAAACAACCCCTAAAACAGCAATATAACATGAATTTTACTATCTAACGAGACCATTGATCCATAAAATGAAAGCAATAAACAATGTACTGCAGTCACACAATCAATCAATCAATCAATCAATCAGTAGCTGAAATGGGTTCCACACAGTCACAAAAACGAAACAAAAAAGCTGCAAAAACAAAAACACAAAATAACTAGCAAAAACATATAGACCTCAGTGTGGCACTCAAAACAGAAGTGTGGCACTCAAATCAGAAGCGTAACACTAAAAACAGAGCACATTCAGCTTCCAAAAAAGTTCGCAAACCAGAATACTTCTGGGTTTGCAGTGTTTGGGTTCCAAGTTGTTTGAGTACCAAGGCATTTAAGAACCAAGGTACCACTGTACTGTTATTTATCCACAGGGTTTAGCTTCCAGTTGACTCCCCTTATTTAGCCAACAACAACCGGAAGGAATAACTTGTACTGCAAGCTCTCAGTCCCCAAATCTACCTGTCCAGCCTCCCAAAAGAATGCCCACATGAGAAACTGCACTATAGGACATGTGATCTTCTCTTCTCTTCCATCCTATGACTCACTATGAGGGCAACCAAGCTGATTCAGAAATGTTGACAATTGGGAGCAGGAGTTGTGACTGGAGATAAAATCCTGAGCAATGAGATTCCTTGATTATGCTTGAGATTGGAACACTGGCCCAAAGTGCTGCTGTTTTATGATGGGCAAAATTCCACAGGCAGAAGAGGCTAATTTGTGCATTTTCCTATAGCTGCACTCTGCTGGCAGCAAGAAGACCGGCTCCACTAATTTCTCGACTCAACGCCCACAGAAGATTCATCCTGAAATAGTGGCACAACTTTAAAATGCAGACTATTTGAATAAGCACCCCAAATACAAAGAGCAAGACCAGAACAATATCCTGTTAAAAAATAAATCAACTTTATTTAATCAAATTATTTTAACACACTATGGTTCAATCAGTAATTAGGGCTCTCACACAATTAAACAAATCTTTAATCACATCGGTTTGGTGATTAATCCATTAATTGGTTAAATTTACAAATGGGTAGCATATAGTAAGCATACTTTGTTTATAGATTGGGGTAGGGAGCCTGTGGCTTTCCAAATGTTGCTGAACTACAACTCCCATTCTCCCTGACCATTGGCCATGCTGGCTGGGGCTGATGGGAGATGGAGTCAAAAATCATCTGGAGAGCTACAGGTTCCCCCAGCCACCTTTTAGATGATGCATGTGCTTTAGACACCATGTTCTTAGGAGACACATTCTCTCCAATGTGGGAGAGATGAGGAGGGAAATGCTTCTCCTAAGACTGCACTTGCCATCTAAAGTTTTTCTAATTACTTATATTAAAATGTATGCTCTATAAAATCTGCCCAAGTAACTGTGGGACACGTTTAGTTGATCAAAATTTTCAACCAATTACATATTGCAACCCTCTTAATAATGTTATATTCTTTTTCTAGATGCAGAAAGCCTTCTTGCAACAAGTGAGATCACAACTGGGAAGCAACTGTGATATTTTTACTCTGCTTCCAAGTTAGAAAACTCAAAATTTTATTATGGGAGGCATTTCTTCAAAACTCACAATATAAAATAAGGAAGCACCTCCGATAATTATAGATTTCATACATTTCTAAAGGTATTTTTTAAAAAAAACTTGCTAGAAGAAACATTTCACATTTTAAAATATAGCATAAATATAAATATTCAAGTTAGAAACAACACAATAGATAAAGGTGACCTTTAGTGGGAAATTGAATTGTGCCTTTCATATACATTTCACTAATTTCCTCTTTTCATGCAATCCCTGCCAGATCTGATCCAGAGGCTGGGGGGCTCTCTAGAACAGCACGGGAACTTGCACTGGGGAATAGGGAAATTAACAAAAATCACTCCCCTTGCAAGATCAAGTCACTTTTAGGAACAGAAAGTGCCCATCTATTCATACGTAGAGTGCTAAGTCTGAATCCTAGTCAATGAAAGAGCACTATTTTCTTTCTATATAAAATAGGTCATAGCCTTCAGAGGAGCTCCTTCAAAATATGGATTATGGAAATATGAACTGGTCTAACCCAGCCTTCTGCAGCTTGGTGCCCTCCAGATGTTTGTGATGGGACTCCTGTTCTCATCATTCCCTGCTAGCATCACCAAGCCAATGGTCAGGGATGCTGGCGGCTAAATCTGGCAACATCTGGAGGACATCATATAGGGGAAGACTAGTCTAACCTCTCCAAGCATTACCTGTCCTTTGACATTCACTCCCCATGTGTGAAAAGCAGTAGAAGCAAAAAAACCCCACCCAACACACCTTCACAGGAAAGAGAAGGGGTCATTTGCCACAAGTGCTGAATTTTACACAGAAACTGGAATTAGAACTTGGGAAATTTACCTTTATTCAGCGGAAGTCGTATTTGGGAAAGAAAAAAAGCCCAACTTTATTCAGCAGAAGTAGACAGGGTTTTTTAAAGTCCAGTATTCAGAGAATGAAGGGACGTGGGTGGCGCTGTGGGTTAAACCACAGAGCCTAGGACTTGCTGATCAGAAGGTCGGCGGTTCAAATACCCGCAAATGGGGTGAGCTCCCGTTACTCGGTCCCTGCTCCTGCCAACCTAGCAGTTCGAAAGCACGTCAAAGTGCAAGTAGATAAATAGGTACCACTCCGGCAGGAAGGTAAACAGCGTTTCCGTGTGCTGCTCTGGTTCGCCAGAAGCAGCTTAGTCAAGCTGGCCACATGACCTGGAAGCTGTACGCAGGCTCCCTCGGCCAATAAAGCGAGATGAGCGCCGCAACCCCAGAGTCGGTCACGACTGGACCTAATGGTCAGGGGTCCCTTTACCTTTACCTTTATTCAGAGAATGAGCTTCTGTGTGACCTGGCTCTCCTTCATAACCTTCCCAGCCCAATCCTGAGTATGTTTAAACAGAAGTAAATCCTACTGATTTCAATGGTGATCATTCCCTAGAAAAAATGCAAAGGACTCTAGTCACGTTCCCCTTCCCATAGACATTCTGTTGCTCTTCCCCTTATTTGTCTCTTTCCTTCTGTCACCAAAGTACTCCAGATTCAACAAAAGACTCCTATCAGTTAAGCTGGTTAAATATATGAGTTGTTTCTATGAGTGGCAGTCAATGCCAGTCTCACTTGGAGTAGACTCACTAAAGTTAACAGACACGGCCAACTTATCTTCATTAATTTAAATGGATCTACTCTGAATAGGACTTACAATCCTGCATCTTTTTAATCAGGGAGCAAAATTTGGATTAATTTGGTGCAGAATCCCAGGACACTAGTGCAAGCCATGTAACGCAGACCCTCTCCATCACCAAACCGGTTTTAATTTGAGAGATGGATTGAAAAACCCGTCCCTTTACCATCTCCTTTGTGCAGTAAACGAACACTCTGTTCTTTTATAATTGCCCTAGATCATCTGGCAGAAACTCTTCCCCACCAATTAAAAGAGTCTTCGACCCAAACAACAACTCATTCTAGTCACTTTTAGTTTCGTTCTTCTGAATTAGGCACACTGGACCGAATATTTAACATTTCCTGTTGGGATTTTTTGACACTCTGAAGTCTCCCCACCCCCTTTCTCTCTCACACACACACACATTCAGAGAAGTCACCCTAAGGGTTAATTCATTCATGCCAGTTGCTCCAAGAACATAGAACCAATGCAGATTAAAAAGTAAACCCCGCCTCTCCTTTAGCTCATTTTAAATTGCAGTTGGCATAGATTAAAGGATCCACATGAATGATTAGCCAATCTGTACACATTTATATATTAAATCCATTTTAAAAAAAGAGATTTTGCACCTTCCCCAGAGAAAAAAACAGCAGGTCATTTAAGTGGCTAGCTCCACAATCCTATCCATGTTTACTCAGAAATAATTCCTATGGAGTTCAGTAGGATTTGCTCCTAAGTATTGCAGCCACATAGCTCATTGCCAAGCTGTGCATTTCCAAATTTACTGAGAAGTAAAGCTTAATATGTTCAACATCGCTTACTCCTCTGTCTACTGAGGATTGCAGCCTTATGTAATAAACCTAACCGGTTAGTTTAGCAAAAACAAAATGCCAACTGCTTTGGTTTGAAAGCAGCCATTTCCAGAAAATACTAAACTGCTTTTGTATACAGTCTTTCAACGTCATGGTTAAATATAGTTTCAGTGTCAGTGAGCCTAGAACTATTAAATGGGCCCCTTTCCTGCGTAAATGAAGCACTTGTCCCTGCGCATAACATTAGCAAAGCAGGTTCAGTGCAGGAGTTTTCTGGCGCACAAGCAGCATTCTCTGTCGACAGCCTGCCTTCCATGGGAAGCAACAGGGTCTTCTGGAGCCTGCTGTGAGACTTTTCAAAGAATGCACCAGGGGCACAGGCAATTTTAGAACCCTATTCAGACACAAAAACACCACTTCCATAATATCCTCTCATTGAAGTGAATGAATTAGCAATGAATTTGCATTAGTTTGCCTGGCACTTAAAAAAAAAAAAAGGAGCTTGCAGGAGCTCTTATCCCTCCATCCTGTTCCAGTTCATAAGCAGAAGGAAGCATTCCTGGAAAGTGGATTATACAACTTCTTCTGGTAATGGTAAAACGGAGAACTTGAAAGGGGTGGCTTTAATTCCTTCCATTTGTTGGACATCACGTTTTCATCTTTATTTACTCCAAGTGGCGGAGCTTTGTCGGATCTCCAGGCCAACAAATATTCTTTCCCCAACTGTTAGCCTTTGTGTATCCAGGGCTGGAGGGAGGAATCCGCAGAAGCCGGCTTCCAAAGCAGACTTAACCTGATCTGATCCAGGCAGATCATGACCTGGGTCTGATTGTGATCCACTTTAGAACCCCCAGGGTGAACTGGGACAAACTGGACTTCAAAGGGTCCATACAACCCTACATGTACTGTGTCCCTCCCCTGAATGGAAGAATCTTTATACCAGGGGAGGATTCTGTGAGCTGAAAGGGGGTGGGGAGCTAATTTTGCAAAAAGGGGGTGGGGAGCTAATTTTGCAAAAAGGGGGTGGGGAGCTAATTTTGCAAATTCACTTTTTCTACTGTAGTCTCCAGCTTACACAATCACTTTAGTTGAATTTGCCGAAGGGAAATTCAGCGGGGCGGATTCAGATGACTCACTGTCAAGGCAAACTCAAGTAAAAGTTTTCTCCCCCTCCCAGTGCGTGGAAGTCAAAAAGGATTTTGATGAGAACTTCAAAGAAACAGTAACAGCAAATAAGACTGCAGGGTTGAGAACGTGGTGGGAAGGGAAAAGAGGAGAGGCTGAAATCTCTGGTTCATCCTGTATACCTGTTGGCTGACCTTCCCCAGATTAAATTCCGAGGTTTCTCTAAAGCTACTGATACTGCAAGCCACCCTGAATCCTCGGAACAAAGTGTGTGCAAGTCAACCACAACTGGCATGTGGTGCTTGAAGTCTCCACGTCAAAGGTTGTGTGAATCCACACCAAAATTAATGTTGGTATGCGGCTTGAATTTGAGGATTTCTCAAAAGGAAATAAATACTAACATCTGAAAAGCGCTAGTCACTCCTACTCTCTCATCAGAGGGCTCACTCTGACCGTACTGTATCAATCCAATACACCACAGCTGAGAGGGAGGTACAGGCCTTTGGAAAGGAAGGACCCTCGACAGAGAAGAGCAGCCTCATTTCTTCTGGGCTTGAGCTAGGCGGCGACTTGAACGTGGGATGGCGCCTGTCTGAACAGACTTGGAGATATGGTGCAGGTCCCGGACAGACCGGACAGTCCATTGGGCAAGCTCCTGCAGTACTTTCATGCCCCTCATTTTCTTCTCAAATGAGCTCTTTCCACCAGCATCTCTGGCACTTCCCAACTCTTTGGCTGGTACATTGTGCTCCAGCATTGCCATCAGTTCCTCCAGTTGGTAAGCGAGACCCGAGACCTGGAGCACAACAGACTGGATAGACTCATGGAAAGCTGTGTCGTCCGGGCTCAAGTTGGACCTCTGCTCTTCCAGGATTTCATCCAGTAATATCTGAAATGCCCAGTAAGCTTTCAGGTTGTCTCCTAGGCGCTCGGCATCTGAAATCTCGCTCCACTGTTCAGTGCCAGCTGTTGGCACGCCATCAATCGAGTCCAGGTTGAAGTTTTTGTCCAGCCCTTGTTTCTCAACCTAGAAGGAAAGAAATCGGAAAGGGAACAAGTAGGTGGGGAAAATAAAAAGGTTTTCAGAAATTCTGCCCATATTTTTCTCGAGGCAATCGTTACAACACAACTGTTCACCCTGGCATTCCCCTGATCTGGACTTGCGATTTTATTGCTTTATCAAATTTTTAGGTATTTTAATGCTTATGCTATTTAATTGCTTGTCTTGTTGTATATTTTAATTCAGGACGTTTTGGAGTTATTGTGCACTGTATTTTAACTACAGTTTGACTTTATAATTGCAAACCGCTTAGGCAATTTTGGCATGTAATCAGTATATAACTTAATAACTAATAATTACAGTATACAGTGTGGAAAGTCTGCGGAGGTGTGTAAACCTCATTCAGATATGGATTCCAAAGGTCCTCCAAGAAGAGGATGTTATACATGTAGTCTCCACAAGATGGCGCTATATTATAGGAACCGAGCGGTTCCTATCCTGTTATTTCCACCCCTACCCTGCCCCAGGGCAGGTCTGCTACAAAATAATTAAATTAAGCCCCTGGTTCGAACTCTGCCTTGACTTCTGATAGGGATGGAAAACCTACTTCCTACCATGACAAGACTGCTCCAAAATATTCCTTCTGGGACAATTGCTTTGATGGACCACCAAGTTTTGGCAATGGAAACGAGTCCCACACCCCTTCCAGCTTGTTTCCCTTATTTTTCTTTGACCCCCAATATGTGTAACAAATGTGCCTTAAAATTACTGCATGAGTTATCTGGAGCTATTTGTTCTGCCCTTGCTGTAACAAAGCGCCAGCCGAGTTGTGGGCGGGTGGTTCTGCCTGTGGGCAGGGAGTGGACTCGGGAAGATATACGGCCCTTTCTAATTACTTGATTCTGTGCCGCAGTGATTCATTTCCCCCTTCATTGTTAAAGATATAAAACTATGAAGACTGCCTTCAAAGGGAGTGGAGTGAGGAGGAGCTGACCGGTGCCTTCCCATCAAGATTAGATGCCCTCTGCAGGGCTGGATTTACCGAAACACCAGGTAGAGATTAGGGGCTTAACAGTTTCAACTGGAATAAAATTAAATAACCTGATGCACAGAAGGCTCTAACTAAGCCCTGATTAGGAAAAACAACCACTTATCTATAATTATGAATCTCACTAGAAATCCAAATTAAAGGCACCCCATACTGGGAGCATTAAGATGCCTTATCTGGTAAAAATGGTCTAATTTGTGAGAGAAGAAAGAGCACAAAGCCCATTATGCTTTCTCAAGGGAAAGGCTCCCCTGGCTCCACACTCAGCTAAGCAACACACCTGATCAGTGCAAAAGCATCACTTTTTCCTTACAGTGGAACGGCAAACATTTTGCTCCCTCAGAAAGCTCAACGAAGTTTAAGATCAACAGGGTTCTTTTTCCCTCTGAAATGAAGCCCTGCTTTCAAAATTCAAAGAAAACAGGTGGCCAGAGCTTTTGAGGCTAAGCAAATAAGACATCCGAGCCACAGAGAGTGGGAAGAAGAGTTTCCAAGAGAAGACTCACGTAGGACTCCAGGAGGCTACTGACATCTGAGCGCATCTTCCTCAGCAGATGAACGGTGCGGCGGCAGAGGTCGCGGTGGTGGGACATCCCAGGGAGTCGCTCTGATGAAGCCATCGCCCGGTTCGGCTGCCCCAGAAGGGACAGCGAGAGCCAAGGCACAGCTCACATAAGGCTGGGTGTCCACAGAATCCCTTGCTCAGCTTATGCATTCCAGAGGCCAATAGAGAATTCTCCACTTGTTGCATAGCCTGCCCGCTCTCCCGCCCTCTTCCATCCCCCGCGGCCTAGGGAGAAACTGCAAATTCCTGGCAGCAGAGCTTAACTCTCTGAGAGCAACACAGACATTTCACACACACACACACACATACACAGTTAAGAACCTCCAACCCACTCAGTACAAGATGTTGAGACCAGAGTTGTCTATTCCCTTTTCTGAGGCTTGCATTATTTTTTACCGCTTTTATTTTGATCTGCCCGTGCCGGCTTAATGACCTACTAATCCCTGTAAATTCGATGCCACAAAGCCTAACCATCCGTGATAAAAGGCACAAAAGGAAGCCAGTCGGCCTACTGACAGCACCTTTAGCTGGATACTTTCTGCGCAGCCGTCTAATGCCAACGAACCATTCCCTCAGGCATTATTACCTTGTGTGGTTCTCAATTTTCACCTCCAGCAACTGCCTTCCTTCTACATCTTGTTAAAAGCCCAAATGGAACCAGCAACACAGCAAGAGTGGTTTTGCATTTGCTTCATTCCCAACATCAAACATTCCCATTTATCGCTATGCATTTGGACTGGGCTTGTAATGTGAATCCTTTCAGCAAGGCCTAGTCCAATTGGTGCTGCAGATAATGGGGTTTTTATTGGATTGTTAAAATGGAAAATTTAATAAATATTATTTTTTTAAAAATTGGTGCTGCAGGGATGGTTGTATACTCCAGCTCCCCGTTTCTTTGCTCAGAACCGTATTTTTATTTTAAAAAAACCCAAAACAACCCGCCATCACCTGACTGACTCAGCTAGGTACATATTTGCCTGGATATGCAACACATTTCCCTGTTAGCTCTACACTTAATGCTGGAGAAGACTGCTAGCACAAAGTGTGTGCCTTATCTTTTGAGAACAAGCTATTGATCCACGTTCCTCTCTTGGTTCTTTCTGCATGGTGCTCCCTACTTTATACAAGGACATGTGCAAACTGCTTCAGTAATGCACGCTGTTCACATCATCCATGAAAGGGTGTGAGTCAGCATTACACCGGCATTGAAAGCACAGACATGGTCTGCCCCTCTGCACATTTACTCCTTCACGGGGGGGGGGGGGGATTAAACATTTCCTCTGATCCACTGCAAATTGCCCCCCTTCCTTGTTTTGCAGCAGAAAAGTCGCCATCAGGCTAACATCACACAACGCTGTATGGGAATATGTCATGTGGCTCCAAACAGGCAAACATTCAGTGAAGGTTGCATGCCTTCTTGTTTGTCTTTAGGCTTTATGATATGACAAAGTCAACTGAATCCTTAGTAGAAACAGAGCTACAAGGTACCCCCAGTTCAAACTGCATGGAGGCAGGAAATTCTCAACTTCAGACATCTACCTAAATTGTCTGTAAAAAATAAATCTAACCATCTGTCACACAGCATTTTGACAACTTGAGTCTCTGCAAAGCCAGTTTAACTCCTTTCAAAGGTATGGGGACAGCCCCCCCCCCGCCTCAATCTGAGATTCATAGACACTTGGAACTTCATCCACAAATTCAGTGGGAATTACAGTACCTCCATTCTCATTACTTCCACCACTTTCAGCACCGATTGACAAAAGGGGGTCCAGCTAAAATTCCTATGTGGTTCTAATGGTATTTCTCAGTTCATTGTTTTAGGAAGAGTTTGAATGTTTTTCTTTTTTCTCTTTTTAAATCTGTTTAGCAGCTTGCTTTGGGGCCTGGCAGGATGCTTCCCTTCTGTGCCTTTATATACACACACACTATCTCAGATGGCATACAGTTGGTACAATGTATTTCAACTGTTTGTTGTTAATACTAGTGATATACAAACAGTAGCAATTCCAAAGTGAAGAAGTCACCAATCAGTATTATGCTGCCTAAGGAACTTGGCTTGAAATGATTACAGCCCTCTCGTTTGACATTTACTTCTAGCCCACTCCTCTCCTGTGAAACTTTCCTAAAGACACTATATATCCTAATCTGGTTATATCTACCCCATACAACAGGGCTTGCTTCTATTCAGCGACCTAACCTGCTTAGCACTTGCCTGATAATGCAAATGAGGCCAATAACTCTTTTCCTTCATCAATCTGTTGCATCCCACACAACTGCTTCCAGAAAATCTTGAAATGGGTGCTAATTAATTCATTTTTCTGTTTTCTATTAAGGGTGACCCACCCACAGACTTATACTTTACTGTGGAAGTAAACAGTAAGGTCTCCTAGACAGAATCCAGTTACACTTTAAATGAACCATAGCTATTCTTTTCAGTGTAAATAATGTAAGGTTATATCTAACGAAGTAGTGCCATTAGCACAAAGGCTGCTGGCTGTGTAACAGAAATTACCGTACCCCCTCTCTCTCCATGCCCCCCTGTGGTCTGCAGATCTCCCAAGTAGATTTGGGGAGGGCACATGAGGGAAAGTTTCACTGCACAACCAGAAATCCTTGCGCTAACTGAATTACTTCATTGGATTCTGCCCATAATCTCTCAGGAATGTGAATGAATCAACCATTTAGGTAGAACCCAACCACATAGATTGGCGTGCGTCCCATCAGTTGGAAACAATCTGGCACCAGGTGGTGTAATTCATATCAAAATTGCTTCATTTGTAGACATTTCAGTGGCATGGGATTGCTCCTGCACTGATGCAGGTGCATGGAAAGCCGCCTCCTTTGTCTTCTCCATATAGACAGCATGCAATGAGAAATGAAGTATTTTATTTTTCCCCTTTAAGTATTTATTTTGATTATGGCTTACCCATCTTAAACACAAGAGATGAAAAACAGTATCCCTTTTTATTGTTTTATTTATTTTTGTTTACATAACCCTTAATCAACATGGATTTATCACTGCCCTCCCCCGACACCCTGACCCAAATCTCCATCACTTGGTGGAAATTTTTATATGAAACAAGGCTTTTAAGCAATCAAAGACTTGTCAATTCAACCATCCCTTCCTTTAACACTAAAAAATAGGGGTGTGCCACAATGCAACACAGCTCTGTTGCCACCCAGTGGCTACTACTTCAGGTAGTTCTGCTAAGTATTGCAAATTCTGCTCCCTCTCTGGTAGGAATTTACAATGCTAGTGCAGTTTGCCTCTAGTTCTTCACTATCATCCTGGAAAGCTGCTCCAGGGATTTAGCAGTTCTCCCCCACCCTACAAAGACTCCACCATATTGCAATTGTTCAGAAACTATTTGAAGTAAATGGACCATTTCTAACATACTAAGCTCACCCACCATTGAAAAACCCCTGAGCTTCCTGTTGACATCACTTCTATTGGTGTTCATATCAATGCCGAAGAGAGAATTCATACATATCAGATTAGGAAATAGGCTTATGTTAGCTCTTTTTTTGGTGGTGGTGGGGTGCAGGATGCACACCATCTCTCACACTGACAGGAAGAGGATCCAATGCTTACACAGCGAAGGTGAGTTTACAGATTGGACAAAACTACAAACTCCTTCCAGAGTGGGTCAGTATCAAATTAGTTACTGTAAACTATCCCATATTACAGAGGAAAGGAGATTATATAGCTTCAGCTCCCAGCACCATGCTTCCTTCCCATGGGAAAAAGCTTATAAGAAGAAAATATAAATAGTTTATTGCAAGTATTATAATAATTGATTGAAGCAAAACTGCATGCGTATGGTGGGAGACACATTAAGGGGAAGCAGCAGGAACAGTTTATGTCAAGGCAAATGGTTTCAGTTCATAAATCTAGACCAGAAGTTATTCACCCCAGAGTGCAAGGAGCTGACCTGGTTAAACACAAGACAATGTTTCTTTGACAAAATCATACACAGACACACATACACACACACCAACAGAGGGGAAAAAAGATCAACAGAGCTGTCTAGGAAAGGTAAGTAATAAGCTGATGGGCAACTCAAGCTGAGAAAGAACTTCAAGTAGCTTGGCAACTACCTACCTACAGCAAAAGTTAACAGCCCCTACAACACTGAAAAAGAGCCTATGATGTGTTCTTGCTGGTACAGCAGTGAAATTCCTTATACTGTAGAAAAGAGGACAGCCCCTTCAGCAGTATACAGAAGCAGCTCTCAACTGCAAATACCTTTCTGGTGTTAACCCTAATCACAGGATACGTAGCTTCATGTCAAGCCTGTCAAACACACAGCCTAAAGCCACATGCAGCACCCCAGCTACACACTGCAGCCTAGCAGGTTGTTGACAAACCTCCAACCAGTCTGCAGAAACGGAAGGAACACAAGTTGGTAAATAAAACCCTGGCAGACAACAATAGTTTGCATCATTTTAGTGCCCCATGGAAATACCCGGTTGATGCTTAGCTTCCAACTCAATAAAGGAGCTCCATTTACACATCTCTCCAGATAAATCAAAACTGTGGCTGGGAATGATGCTAGCTAGTGCTATCCAGAGTAATTTGGAACTACATGAGGTAGAACTACAGTATAGACTGAAAAACCTATTTCTATAACCACTGATTTAAAAGAGGGCGGCAACAATACCAAACAAAAAAAATCAGGATCATGCCTACGATAATTCCTCATTCTCGGTTCCTGTGAATATGAATACACTAGGCCAGTAAAATAGAAAAGTAGGTTCGCTGGAATACTTTGTCACCACAAGCTGTCGGGTAACAGTCAAAAGCTCATGCAAATTATATCCAAGTAAATTTTTGAGGTGTCAGTTGCTTTTCTAAGCTCTCCACAAAATGCTAGACTATTGCACTCCTTAGTGATACCCCAGTCACCAACTATGACAGAAACAAGAGGATATGCACCTATGTGAAAATGCCGGATATATGGCCAAGGAGGTCTGGAGCCGCCACCACTCAATGTCAGTGTTGCATCTAAATAGGTTTTTAAAGACTGGGTCCAAGCGTCTTTGGACAGTCAATCTATTCAGCAGTCTATATATAACACATCCTCAAAAACAGGCTTTTTCTTAATGGCATTATCTTACCAAAACTAGAGAAATGCAAAACTAATAATGCAACCTAAGTGAGCAAAGCGTTAGGAAAGCTGGGAGAGAGATTAATGGCAGGACAAAGCTTTGAAGTGGGTATTACTTCTTCACAAAGAAATCCTCCTCCTCCAAACAACAACACATGCTGCAATCTCCCTGTTCACTAGAAAGGGCACGAAGACCTATTCTGCTCCACTAGCACTTCCTTCAAGCAGGGAGATGGACAATTCCTTAACATGGTTTGCTGAAGAGGCTGCTTCCATTTTATACCCCTTAAGAAGAATTGGTTTTGAAAGAAAATCCTCCCTAGACAGCAGCTAAGAGATCTTTTTTTAAAAAATAAAATAAATAAGGAATTTGTTATCACAACTTAAAAACAAGACACGTTCAAAGTGCAAATTTTCTTTTACCAGTCTAGCACCCATTCTTGTTGCCTCTCCTACACAGGGCTTTTGCAGCCAGAGCAACTGTAGAAAAGGATGGCACCCCTTATGAAAAAGTGAGCACCCGAGTGCCAGAATCCCCTTCTCTCTCCTTACTGAGGCAGAAGGAAGGATGAGAGAAAGGGGGAATATATGCTGTTTTACAGCTCATCCTGCTGAAGGGTCCTAAAGTGCCAAGCTATATTCCCAAGCCCTAGGAGAAGTAGGAGCCTGCAAAGGGTCAGAATTTAATAATGCATAGAAAAGGATGACGTGACTGGGAGGTGCAAAGTAGGGTTTTGAAAATGAGATAGTGATCCAGAATACAAACACCTTCAATCCTGCAACATTGGTCAAGAAGCAGGAAGTTTGCTTACTGTGGAAGGGCAGGGAGAGGGATAGGCTCTGGCTGCTTCCCTTCACTGCATTACAAGAATTCCTTGCTTTGTCAGTCTCTGTGTAAAGGCAACATTCCTCTCCAAGAAGGGAACTGTGAAAGAATGTGTAGTGATCCACTCTGGGAGGGAGGAGAGGTGGGGCAGAGGGGGAGCAGGCCCTTTAGTTATTTGACTAGTAATTTAAATGTTTTAGTTTCTCTATACTGAATAAGCTTTTCCCATTTATTTATTTTTTTAAATACAAGTTCAAGTTGTCCCAACACCCATGTGCTCCTTTTCCCTACTAAGGTCCTGTAGAATCAGAATCTTCAATTAGAACTTCAGTGGTCGCTCCAAGGATCTCGGTGTTCATGACCAGCCCTTCCGTACTCTCGCCACTAGCAGTGCCAACAAAGATCTTCCCGTCGGCCATCAGATTGACCCGATCACCCCCACTGCAATATGCCTTGGGCATCCCGTCAGGGTTCAGCAGTAGACATTCTCCAGGAGTGGTGTTTCCAAGGGGATCTGGAAGAAGGGGGAGGCCCTGGCCATCAGTGGGCGGGACAACCGACTCTGGATTGGTACCCAGGATCTCAGTGCTGGTGATGAGGGCGCCTGCATTGGCTGCCAGGGCTTCAGCAATAAGCACCTCTGGGTGACTCTTAGCCTTATGTGCTACAACGCTGTCTTTTTTCTCAAACTTCTTTCCACAGATATTGCATGAAAACTGGTAAAATGTATCTGCATCATGCTTTTTCATGTGCCAGTTCAATGAGGCCTTCTGTCGGCAGGTGAATCCACAGATCTCACACCTAAAGAAAAAAGTGGGGTGGAAAAAAAATATGTAATAAGGCTGCAAGAATAAAGTATTGTAATTTACAACACAAGGGAAACCTAGCCTCAGTCATTGGCCAAATGAGTTGCTCCACCTTACTCCTTCCTTGCCCCAGAGGTCCTTAGTAGACCTGTTCCCTGTTAGGCAAGTAGCTGAAAGGTGTCACCAGTGTGAGGGCAGAGAAAGTCTGCCTGAAGAATTCTGGCACAATACAGATGTTATTTCTGCTGCTGATACTACAGGAATGTGATTCTTTATACAAATATTTTAGAGCACCTCTGGCCTATCAAGTTGGAGAGAAGAATTTGAAATAAGTTAAGAAAAAAGAGTGGAATACAGAAGGGTAGCCTAAGAAAGGCACCCAAAGATACAGCTGGTCTAATCCCTCATGACGCAGGATAAAACATGACATTACTTACTGTAATGGCTTCTCGCCTGTGTGGATCATTCGGTGAACTGCCAGATTGTGAGAACTCTTGAAAGCACGGGCACAGTATTCACAAATATAATCCCTTTGATCTGTAAAGCAGCACACAGTATTCAATAATCAAGTCTTGTTCCTAATCAGATTCCTATTTGTACATCTGGAAAATACCTTAATGCTCCAATCATAATACTCATGTTTTAAAATGTTTTCCTTGTAAGAGTGTGGGGGACTGTTTAAAAGTAGCAGGGATATATTTCTCAGCTGAAAATACATTTGTATATCACTACCAAGCCATTCCTAGATGTTACTTTCATGCATTCCTACTTTTTCTTTTCCAAAAAGACTCCAGTGAAGAGGGAAGGTATGGAAAACCTCCACACTAGACTTGCAAGGTACACAGGGAGGAATTCAGTGTCACACTCTTCTAGTTGCTCCATCAGTGCAAGCATTTCTGTTTGCCCAATGGACCAATCCCTGCCCTGCCCCCATGCTGTTCTGGGAGCTCTTCTGAACCCAGTGTATTTAAGGGAGGAGTGGGAGGTGAAGCCCCACTGAACTAGTGGGAACCTTTGTGCTGGCTACTCTGCTGGATTAGTTGAATCCAGGCCAGACTATTTTTTTTCCTGGGCCAATCACAGGTAAATAGTATTTCTCTTTGAAGACTATTA